GGGAGCGCGGGGGGGCCGCCTGCCAGCAGCAGAAGAGCATCGAGGTGGCCAGGATGGGCCCGTGCGAGGACGGTAGGTTGCTGCCGTTCTTCTATCCACACGAGTGCGAAAAGTGGGAGAAAAGGGGAGGAAGAACTGACCCTCGCTGCTCTGCTGTGCCCCGCTTTAATTTCTCATGTCAGTGAGTTGTGGCTGGGGGAAACGGAGCTGTTCCTGCGCCTGCCAGCAGCAGAAGAGCATCGAGGTGGCCAGGATGGGCCCGTGCGAGGACGGTAGGTTGCTGCCGTTCTTCTATCCACACGAGTGCGAAAAGTGGGAGAAAAGGGGAGGAAGAACTGACCCTCGCTGCTCTGCTGTGCCCCGCTTTAATTTCTCATGTCAGTGAGTTGTGGCTGGGGGAAACGGAGCTGTTCCTGGCTGCTGCTTTGCATCCCTCAGCCCTGGGAGCTGCTCCAGGGCCTGGCCTGTGGCCACTCAGTCCTGAGCACCTGGGAAGGTCGTGGTGTTGGCTGGACCTTGCTTGGTCAGGCTAAGAGCTAAGGACCTGCTGAGTTTTCCCACTGAAGGAGAAAAGCTGTGGGTTAATGCTGGTTAAATCCAAATACATGAGGTGCATACACCTCACCGCTCTGCCGTGCTGACCCGCTGAGCTGAGATCCTCCAGCTCGTTGCACGTGTAGTCTAGCTGGAAAGGACTTCAGTGCAATGGCAGGGCTTTGGGAGAGGGGAAGACATAACACAGTGTTTGATCACAGCCCTCCTCAGGGAATTTCAGGTTGATGTCCCTCTGGGAAAAGATCTTAAATAATTCTCTGTGTAATGCCAAACCCCAGCCTTTGATCACTCAGTAAGAAGGGTCAGGTTTTCTTTCTCCCCCTTCCCCTTTAAGAAGCCTTTGAAATCAGCAGCGTCTCTCTTGCTGCTGGAGCTCTGAGCATCTTATGGCAAGGCAGCCGGGCTAGGGACAGAGTTTATATATTGTTATGTATATATATTATATATATATACTTAACTAACCCCAAACCCATCCCTTCCTCTGCTCCTCTTTCTCTCCAGAGTGCGGCTCGGGGGGCTCGGGCTCTGAAAAAAGAGTGTGAGCAGGACCGGTGCCGGCAGTACGGGGGCTGGTGGGACGAGGACGCTGAGGACGACCGCTGTGTGTGTGACTTCACCTGCCTGGCGGTGCCACGCAGCCCGGTAACACCCCTACCACCACGGGGCTGTCTGCTGCAGTCCTCACTCCCCTCATCTTCTCCTTGGTGGCCTTCCTGCATCCTTCCTGCATGGAGAGGGGATCCAATGGATAGGGAGCCTACCCCTTATTGGTTTCCTTCCCTGTCTTGGCAGGTGTGTGGCTCTGATGGTGTGACCTACACCAATGAGTGTGAGCTGAAGAAGACGCGGTGTGAAAAGCGCCAGGATCTCTATGTCACTGGCCAAGGAGCCTGCCGTGGTGAGTCCCCTCAAGGCAGCCAGTCCCCCCAGGCTGACATTGGTCCCAGCCTGGTGCCCTGCAGCACTGCATGCCCTTTCCCTGGGGCTAAGCAAGGAAGAGCTCGCTAAGGACACAGCGGTGTCTGTGTTGATTTGCTGCTCCCTGCTGCACCTCTCCTGTTTCATGCCCTGTGCTTTCCCCAGCCAAGGGTAGGACCTCACCTCATCACCCGGTCCCAGCATCTCTGCAAGGACCACAGGGTTTTGCAGGGATGCTGCTAGCTGCTTGATCCATGTATTAGCAATACTGCCCTGTGGCAACCTGTGTGCCAAAATAACCTGTACCTCTCTGCCTTCCTCTGCAGCCCTTGCCACCACCCCACCACCTCTCCTGGTTGTGCACTGCAGCCAGACCATCTATGGGTGCTGCCCGGACAATGTGACCTTGGCGCTCGGCGTGGGTGCAGCTGGATGCCCAAGTGAGTGAATGTTGTGTCCCCACATTGGGGGGCATGGAGAAGCATCAGGGGTGGCTGAAGGGGAGATCAGGTGGAGGGGGAGTTTGGAGACCCATGCAAGGGGACTGGTGACCTCTCAGGCTCAGAAAGCCTCTGTTTCTCCCCAACCGGTGGATACCCAAAAAGATGCCCCTATGGCTATGCCCTCTGTTCCTTTAACCCATTGCTTAGGGCTTTTCACTGGCCTGAGTGACAAAAACATTGCACTGCAGACTGAGGTGGAACAGAGTTTTGGGGCTCACCTGGGGCCCTTCTGCAGGGCACCTCAGGACCAGTGACTACTGGGTGGCTGCACTGTGCAGGAAGCTGAGCTGGCAAAGGTTTCATTAATATTTATTAAATAATTACTGGAGTCAGTACCTTAGCAGAAGGCCCATTTTGAAAGGCATTAGCAAACCCTTAACAGCTGAGGCTGTGACCGCCCGTGAGAGGAACGCATTATCCCATGGAGCCACCGTCCACGCCATGCCTGGGTCTGGTTAATGCCTGCTCGATGAGGACGCAGCGCTGTTTAATGTGCCGTATAATTTAAAAAGCAGCAGCATTCAGAGAATGTCCGGAGATCCCCATGTGGTGGTGTGGTCCATGCTGGCCAAGAGGACCTGCAGTGCAGGAGGGAGCTGGTCAGAGGGATGCACGGGAGGAGGCAAGCGTTTCGGTTGCAGCGTTGCCCTGCCTGTGGTGGTTCCTCTGTCTCTGATGGGAGTCCTGTCCCCTGCCCTCCAACCCATGGACACAGCTTCCCTACTGAGTGGGTTTCAGCATCCCACCAATTTCCATCCCCCCGTGTCCCTGTGTCGGCAGCAAGCACACATCAGGAGATAATTACCACTTAACCAGCAGCGTGAAGCCCCTAGGCTTCAATTTTATCAATTCAATTTTATCCTTCAATTTTATCCTTCAATTTTATCCTTCAATTTTATCCAAATGTATCCATTGCTTCATTCTGGACATGTCATTCCCTGCGGGTGTGCTCATGTGCCCTGATTGCTGCTCCCAAGGTCTCCCTTTCTCTTCAGCTCTGCCCCATGTCCCCTTTCAGCAGCTCCCTGTGGATCAAGGGAGCGTCTCTCCATCTATCTTTGGATCGCTTCCCTCCATCAAGTCCCTAATTAATGAATTAATAATAAACTTCTAATAGCTTCCTCCCTCTTTGATGTTAATGAGAGAAGAGTTCTTGATGGCAGCAAAGCACTAATCCCTGGGGGTTTGGTTCCCCCTTGTAGCTGGGGCAGAGGAGAAGCATTGGGAGCAGCTGGTGAGGCCTCTTCCTGCTCAGTGTGAGCCATGGCCAAGCATCCCTGTGGCCAGTCCCCCTACCCCGATGCAGCTCCTGTATCCCTTGGCCAGGACTCAGCCTCACGCTCTTTATATTTTCCCTTTTTCTCGCAGGTACCTGCCAGTGCAACCCCTACGGCTCCTACGGGGGAGCCTGCGACCCCACCACGGGGCAGTGCTCCTGCAAGCCGGGCGTGGGGGGGCTCAAGTGCGACCGCTGCGAGCCTGGATTTTGGAATTTCCGTGGCATCGTCACTGACGGCAAGAGCGGCTGCACGCGTGAGTGTGGGCAAGGCTGGGCCATCACCCCTTGTCCCATCCATCTCTCAACTCCCCAGCTTGCTCCATGGGGCCCAAGGGGTATCACAGTGTTTAAAATGGTGAGCCCTGATGCTGGTCCTGTTGTAAGTCATCTCCAGTAGATGTTTTTGCAGAGCTGGAGGACTTGCTCTGTGCAGAAAAGACAGGGCGGTCTGAAGTGCTGTTGCAGCTTGGCTGGGACGTGGTGTCCCCTTCCATGGGCTGGCTCCTTGGCCAGATGTTCTCAACAAGAATAAGGCCTGGTGGCCTTATCCCTGCAGATGTGGAACAGATGTGGAATTGCAAGCTGTAGAGCTGTGGTCAGAGGGTAGTGGGTGATTCCTGCAGCTGGGGTTGGGTCAGTCCATACAGAGCTGCAGTCAACATCATGGTCCTCCTCTGAACTCTTCTCCTCACCCTTCTCTTGAATTGCTGATGGACCTGGCTGAGTCTGCTGTTGACTCCACAAATCCACCAGCAAAACGAGGTCTTTCTGGTTTTTTCCTTCTTGCCCAGCCTGTAACTGTGACCCTGTGGGCTCAGTGCGCGACGACTGTGAGCAGATGACTGGGCTGTGCTCCTGCAAGACTGGGATCACTGGCATGAAGTGCAACCAGTGCCCCAACGGCAGCAAACTGGGCATGACTGGCTGTGAGAAAGGTGAGGGATTGCGTGGGGCACCGGGAAATGGGAGCTTGGGTACTGCTGTGGGGCAGTGCATGGGCTCGTGAAAGAAATGTACGTGTGTTGGTCACCTCTTCCCCCTTCTTTCCTTACCCTAGACCCATCAGCCCCCAAATCCTGTGAGGAAATGAGCTGTGAGTTCGGGGCCTCATGCGTGGAAGTCAACGGCTTTGCCCACTGCGAGTGCCCATCACCGCTCTGCGCAGAGGCCAACATGACCAAGGTTTGGGGGAGAGGCAGCCGTGGGGGGCTGAACGGTGCATGGGGACGCATGGCAAGCTCAGGGCATTGGGTTGGTGCCAGCAGTGAAGGGGTCTGATATCTCTTCCCTTCACAAGAAGCAGGCAGACAAATTTGGTCACCATGGGGAAGGATGATGTGTGGGTCATAGATGTCCCCCAGCAGAGCTGGGTGCTCTGTGCCCTATGTGTCACCTCGGAGGTGCTCTGCTCCTGTGCTTCCACAGCTTGGCCTTGGGTGCCTGTGTGCAGACCATCCCCTCTGTGCCTCAGAGGGACCCCTGCTCTCAGCAGCTGGAGCCTGGTTGATTTTGGACAGGGCTGCAGCTCACATTTCCCCTCTGCTGCCCAGGTGTGTGGCTCTGATGGTGTCACCTATGGGGACCAGTGCCAGCTGAAGACCATCGCCTGCCGGCAGGGCCAGGTCATCACGGTGAAACACACAGGGCAGTGCCACGGTGAGTGTCTGCAGCTCTGATGCTGAACCCAGGTCTGATTGCCTCCCTCTGTGGTTCCTCGCTGTGCCGTGGTCATGGCACAGCAGATGCAGTGTCATCAACTGGGTTTGCAATGTTCTTCCCAGTATCAGAACCAGCCTTTCCCAGTCCTGCTCCTCCTTACCTACCCTGTCTTGCTGCTCCTTTCAGAGTCCATCACCCACACAAGCCACACCTCGCCACCCACACCACTGCCCACTCTGCCCTTGGCCAAGATAATCCTTCCCCCACCGCTGCGGCTCACCACACGGGCTCCTGAACCCACCGAGCTGGCTACCAGCTCCCTGCTGGTGGATGCCAAGCCTACTGAAAGAGGTCACCCTACGACGAGGCGCATCACAACTGCCAGGCCGGCCACCACGCCGTGGGCGACCCACGGGGGGTATAAGACCACCATCCGCCCTCTCTCCACCGCACCAGTGGTCCTGGCCACCACCCAGCCTGCCTTCGTTGAATCAGGCAGCGCAGAAGGCAGTGGAGACCAAGAGATGGGCATCAGTGGAGACCAGGAATCCAGTGGGGCAGGCTCTGCCGGTGAGTGTGGGCTTCGTAGGCTTGGTGGGGCTAAACCCTGTGTCTCCTGCTGAGATGAAGCTGTCTCTCAGCCTCAGAGGAGATGTCTTACCTCCTGCTGGTGAATGCTCCTCTTGATGCCCTGCAGGGGAAGAGGAGGTAGAGGAAAGCCAGGTAACTTCCACCCCCGCCATCGAGAGGGCCACGTGTTACAACACCCCCCTGGGATGCTGCTCTGATGGCAAGACCGCGGCCGCTGATGCGGAAGGCAGCAACTGCCCGGGTGAGTCTGTCCTCAGCGGTCAGGAGCCAGGCTGAGCTCTTGCAGGGCACAGGAGAGGGACAAATACCACCCAGAGCAGCATGGAGGCAGTGAGCACAATCCCTGCGTTCAGCCTGGGGGCTGGTGTGTCCCTGGTGGGTGGTTCATGGGGATTTGGTGAGCTCTAGGACATTGTGCCCACCTACTGCAGCCCCCAGCAGCCAGCCCTGGGATTTGGGTGTGTGCTGCTCCTCACATAGAGCTGGGGCACTCTGCAGTTTTCTTCCTTAGGTGACCACTTTTTTCCTTGCCTTAAAACTTTAACCAGTATTTTGCCCAGGTTTCTGCACTGGTACTGGTGGGGATGAGGGAATTGTGTGGATTCCCACTTTATCTTTGTTGATGTGAAGGGAGCTGGGCTGAGCAGGACCAGTTGGGTGCCAGGGCAGGCTGGGAGAGCACCAGCAGCCCCAGTGTCCCTGCTGGGCGTCCTGGGGAGTCTGAGCCTTCTTGGGTCACACTGTGGTCCCCAGGGATGCCCACTGCTTTCATGACCAAGGTGGGATCTGTCTTTCCCACTCATGGTCCCTTTCATGCTGTTCCTGTTGAGGAAACGCAGAACCACCCGTGCTCTGTCAGAGAATTGATTGCCTTGTGCCTTGTTACCTTAAAAATTGTTGTTCTGGGACCATGTCTCAGCTGTTTCCTCACTGAGGTCCTTCTTCACCATCCCTGTTCCTTGAGGTTTCCAGCAGGACACCCCCTTTTCTTCTGGACACCGCATTCCCCTGTAGGGTTGCCCCCAGTGGGGGCCTTTCTCCAGCTGCCCCTGCACCCCCACAGCTCCTCGGGAAGGGGAACCGCATTTCGGGTTCCTCTTGCAGCTTTGGTCTGGTTTTGCTGGCAGGGTCCCTGTGTCCCTCTCCCAGCACAGGTCTTCTCCTTGCCCAGAGCCCCCGTTTCGGCCTCCTCTGCCCCCGGTTTGCGTGCCCATGTCTGCTCCTGCCGTGGTGTCTGTGTGCTGCTCTGGCTAACGTCTCTCTCTTGTTACTCAGCCGGTGCAGGGGGGCTGCTACCCGGGCCGGAGCTCAGAGGAAACTGTATGGTAAAAGCTGCCATCTCCAGCCTGGTCTTTGCCATCTGCTCCAGCACCCTCTGATTACTAATCCTCCATGGCGCTTCCCCAGACCCATCCCAACTAACCCCAACACTGGCACTACCCACACACCGCCATCACCCTTTCCCCCCCCAGGGACTCGAACGCTCCTTGCGGCTGTCGGCCACACGCCTGTCCCCTGCCCACAACCCCACTAAACGCCTTTGTCTTCTTTACCCTTCCTCCCATAGCGACCAAAGTCTTCCAGGGAGTCCTCATCTTGGAGGAGGTGGAAGGCCAGGAGCTGTTCTACACCCCCGAGATGGCTGATCCCAAATCCGAGCTCTTTGGGGAGACGGCCAGGAGCATCGAGAGCGCGGTGAGTCCTTTGCGCTTCATCCGGGGTCTGGCTTGGGCTCTTCTGGCCTCTCTAAAAGATGAGAGGAGCTGTGCTGGCTGTCAAAGGAGAGCGCCGAGACCTCTCTGCAAGATGTGTTGAGTGCTTTGGAGGAGCATTGCTCCATGTTGGTGGTTTTGGGGTTGTTTTTGAGAACCCACGGAAATTGGGAGTGTTACCTCCAGGGCCAGCGCTTTCATGGGGTGGGCACTTAAGATTGTAAGGAGATGATGCACCGGTTCTGGCTAGGAGGTACCCTCTGTGAATTTGCCCAATCTCCATATGCTATTAGCCTCTATCACATGCTGTGTCAGTGTGTTCCATCCTTTGTTATGTGCTGGCTCAAAAATTACCCAGTTTTTAGCTTGATCTTGGTGATGGGGCTTTCTAGATGAGAGATTCCGCCTTAACACCCTGGATTTCCTGAAGTGTCCTTATCTCCATGAAAAGTCCTTAGACAAAAACCTATACCAAGACCCTTTATCCCTCCAGCTCAGCTACACAGTTCGGGAAGTGTAAATCCAGCCTCCCACCTTTTAGGATAACCCTGCATTGCCAAGGAAGCGCTGGGTGGGGTGGCAACATCCCAGCGTAGCCTGCAGTGTGGCACAACAAATACAAGGCGTCTTTGCAAGGAGATTTACATATTTAGAGCTGGTTTCTTAGAAGTTGGCAAGCCCTCGGTACAGTCACATAAGCAGATGTGTGCCTGGCATACGGACCATATGGCTCCTGCAGCTCTGTATCACGATAGCGGCGTTTCCCAGTACATCCCCTTCTGTCTGGGGATGCAGACATCCACACAACAGCTTCGTTCACTGGTGCAGCCATTCTCCCTGCTGGGAAGGGAAGGGACTTTGCTGGTTTTAGGTTTCCCAGGGCTGGGGGAGATGAAGGCATGGCTCGGGACAACCAAATTTATAGGGAGGGCCTATCTCATCAGTCATTTAATTACTTCTGCCTTTGCTCTGAAGCTCAGAGAGGGAGGCGATGGCCTCTGCTGTGGCAAGGCTGAACAGGGGTGTTAAAGCCCTGACTTGCTCTAAGTCTTGAGCTGTCGCTGTCTCCTTCATGTGACTTCAGACAAATCCCACAACCTCTGAGAGCCAAGTTTCCAAAGGCAGGCAGGTACTTATGGATGCAGCGTGGCGCCTTGTGGGATTTTCCCAAGTGCCTAAGCAGGTTTACGCAGCTTTAGAAGAGATCAGTAAGGCTTAGATGCCACACAGCAGAAAATCCCTGGATGAGCTGCAAGGTGTCTGTGCTCTTCTCCTTGGGTACGATGGGGTAGCTCATGTGCCCCACGCTATTTCTGGATCCCCTCTTTGACCACAGACCATACAGAACAGGGACCATTTGAAAGTATCACCCTACACAAGGGAGCCCTGTTCTCTGCGTGTGTCAGTGGGATGCCTTGCAAAGGTTTAGATGCAAATCCCTGTGGTTTGAAGCCTAGGAGGGTCGCTGAGACTCACAATCTTTTACTGGAAGGCCCTATGTCCTAGGATCTCCCCATTAATCAGTTTATCTTTTATCCTTCTCCTCCCACCAACGCAGCTCGATGAGCTTTTCCGCAACTCTGACGTTAAGAAGGATTTCAAGAGCATCCGTGTCCGAGACCTGGGGCAGAGCAGCGCTGTCCGTGTCATTGTGGAGTCCCACTTTGACCCAGGTAAGAGCCTTCCCAGGGTGGATTCACTGGAGCTGGCGCTCCCCATGGGGCTGCCAGCCTGAGAAACGTGCGTGTGACAAGGAGCATGACAGAACCTTGTTAAAATTTGCTGGGGGGATGTCTTCTGTCCAGCAAAATCAACAGATGCTGGGAGAAGGTGCACCCTAAGCTGGTGCCTGGGAAGCTGGAAGCATTCTCCTAAGGAAAGGAATTATTTGGATGCATCTTGGGGGAGGTACTGCTAGGTAGACCTGCATCTTCACTCTTCCCTTTCTCCTTTCTCCTCCTGGCTGTGATCAGCCACTTCCTACACAGCAGCTGATGTCCAGGAGGCCCTGCTGAAGCAGATCAAAGCTTCCAAGAAGAAGACCATCCTGGTGAAGAAGCCTCAGCAGGAGCACGTCAAATTCATGGACTTTGGTGAGCCTCCTCTCCTGATTTAGGCTACCAAATGATCAGGTTGGCTCTTCTAGTCCTACCCAGCCGGGGTGGGAGGACCAGCAGCGCGGTAGCCTGGGAGATCCATCCATCCAAGCCTTTCTGTTGCCATCTCACCCCCAAAATGGCTTTGCCTTCCCCCGGGGAGGGTTGCAAAGCCCCAACCTCCACCTTGCTGTGTTCCAGACTGGATCCCCAGGCTCTTCACCACCACCGTGACCACAACTACGGCCACCACCATGGCGCCCGCCACCACCCGCAGGTACACCACGGCCCCCGCCGCCACCACGGCCCACATCCCGCGCCCCGACGCTGCCCGGCGACCCAGCCGCAAGGTGATGGGAAGGAGACCCGCGTCCACCCTCCCCGCCACCACCCGGCGCAAGCCCACACGCCAGCCCCCCACCACCAAAAAGCCCTCGCGACCCTGCGACTCCCACCCCTGCCTGCACGGCGGCACCTGCGAGGACGACGGGAAGGAGTTCACCTGCAGCTGCCCGGCGGGCAAAGGAGGAGCTGTCTGTGAGAAATGTGAGTACCTCCATGTGAGTGTTGAGTGCTGCTGGTGGGGCTCAGCAGTTGTAGGAAGGTGACAGCCAAAAGCAGGGACAGCAGAGTCAAGGGAACCACATCTCCTGCAGCTTTGAGTCCCACCTAGAGGCTCCACCACACAACTGGAAAAGCATTGCTCCTCAGTTGCCCCATTTCTTACTTATTCTCCCCAAGCATGTGCAGATAGGGACAATAAGGGCTGAAGGTGCTTCCCATGTCCATCCGTGCTCCAGCAGACTGCACAGTGATGGAGAGGCATGGGAACACATCCAAACCCAGCTACATAACGTGTGCTGGTGCTGTGGGGTCAATGTGACCAGTTTAGCTCTGCCAAGGACAGGTTGTATCTGCACCATGTGCTGTAAGAGGTGAGCATAGCAAGGCTTGAGAGGTAAGAAGGTGCCAGGAGCAATTTCTTCTTGGCTGTGCTTCTGATCGCTTCTGAAACAAGATTGTGTTTTTCTGTCTCAGCTCATGACGTTGTCCCTTGTAGCTCCTGCAGCTGGTGACTGCAGTTAGAGTCTAACAGAGAGACAGGTCCTCAGCATCCTCTCGAGCACCAGGAGACGTGTGCTGATAATTCAGGCTCTGTTCCCTGGGGCTGCTCAGCAAACAGCTGCAGACTGGCAGTGTGTGCTTAACCAGAGCTGTCACTGTTTACTGTGAGCTCCCCTGCAAATTGGTGTCGTGCTGGGGGCACTGGGTGGTTGTGAGGGCTTATTCCTGAAAAGCTTTGACCCTAAAGCCATAAGCAAGAGCACACAGAGCTGCTGCTGGATGTGGGTGTCCAGTCCTCTTAATTTTAGTAGGGCTAGGCCTTCCTGATCCCTTGGAAAATCTTGGAGAAGCATGGGGTGATGAATGTAATTGTGTGGGATTCTGGGAGGACAGATAAAAAATGCCTAAGGAGCAGGGAAGTTGAGTCAGGAGGAAGTGTGTGTGTAGCAGCACACAGGGGATGCAATAGCTGGGCGTGAGAAGGATCAGCAGCACTGGTCCTTACTGGGAGGAGCTGACTGGGACACTGCTGAAGCTGGGGGAGCAATACCACTATACATAGGTAGGGAAAAGTGTCCCCAGGTATATTTATCTGCTCTCTGCCCTGTTCCCACCTCTGCTTCATCCCCTCTTCCTTTCTCCGCCCTCCCGGGCTCCTGCAGCCATCAGGTACTTCATCCCCAGCTTTGGTGGCAAGTCCTACCTGGCCTTCAAGATGATGAAGGCCTACCACACCGTGCGCATCGCCATGGAGTTCAGGGCGGTGGAGCTCAGCGGGCTGCTCCTCTACAACGGCCAGAACCGCGGCAAGGACTTCATCTCCCTGGCGCTGGTCGGGGGCTTCGTGGAGCTCAGGTGGGTGCCCTGTGGTGTGGAGGAGCTGCTCGTACCAAGGGATGGTCCTTGCAGGGCATCAGGAAGATGCTGGGCTTGAACTTGTAGGCTAAGAAAGCGTAGCATCAAACAGACAAGAAGAGAAGCATTTTTTGCAATATAATAGAAATACTGAGGGGACTCATTCCCTGTGGCACTTTTCAACTTAATTCTCATATTTCAGTTGGAATTTTGAAAAGCTAAAAGGTGTGGGAGGTTGATTTTTTTTTTGAGCGAGTGAGAGGTCTTTTTTTCTTGGTGCTATTTTTGTGCTGGCAAAAGAAATGCAAGGAAAAAGAAGAAAGGGAGAAAGGCTCCAGGAATTGGAGCCGAAATGGTTTTTCCAATTCCAAAAGCCAAAGGCACAGATTGGGAATGAGGTGAGGTGAAGGGCAGAGCTCTGGAGATTGCAAAGCCCAGATCAGGCAGTCAGTGTGGGCTCCCAGTACAGCCTGGTCCAGAGGTGGGGAGGGACAGGGACTCCCCAATGTCTCCTTGGGATGCAGAAGTCCTCCTAACATGACACAGATGTCACCTTTCTCTCCCTCTTCTCCTCCAGGTTTAACACTGGCTCTGGCACGGGCGTCATCACCAGCAAGGTCCGCGTCGCGCCCGGCAAGTGGCACCAGCTGGTGGTGAACCGCAACCGGCGCAGCGGCACGCTGTCGGTCGACGGGGAGCCCCACGTCAGCGGGGAGAGCCCGGCCGGCACCGACGGCCTTAACCTGGACACGGACCTGTTCATCGGGGGAGCGCCAGAGGACCAGATGGCCGTGTGAGTGATGGGGACGGCCCCACCGGTCCCACCACGGTCCCCTG